ATATCACTTTAAAAATGGGGGAAGGAATGTTGCCCATTTGTATGTTATTTTAGATTAATATCAGGTAGAACAACTGTTGACTGGACAACTTTTAGCCCATTTGTATGTTATTTTAGATTAATATCAGGTAGAACAACTGTTGACTGGACAACTTTTAATTAGATTTACAGTTTAAGAGGACATGTCAGGAATAATCATGGAAAAATGTTTTGTCTTGTAATCAAGAATGTTTCGAGACACAGAAAATCCCACTTCCTATATGCCGTCTTAACTACCAGGATTTAAAGTAAAGTAAACATGGGTACCACAGTGTGTTGAATAATTGTTTTAAATTTTTCTTCCTTGCTGCGTAAATTTTAGTTAAGAAGTTTTAATATAAACACGAATCTGTAACAAAAAAAAACAGCGGACCCCAGTGTTCAAGTGCTCATTTATGATGCCTATAATGATTTTGTTAATTACTGAGTAATTTATTTACACTTTATGTCAGTGTATATATATATACACGTACTAAGTAATAAGACTGAATTGTAGCAGTCTGAATGCAATTAATACGTATTGATAGTTTTTAAATTTAGTATAAGTTCTTATATATATATATATATAAAATTAAGAGGTAGAAGTTATATAGATTTTTTTTTTGTAAAACCACAAGAAAAAGCAACAATTCTGGAGGGTCACAGAAGATGGTTCTCATTCTTTACAATGACATTATGTACAGATTGAAGTCTCTCGGGACTTCACGTTATACATATTGAACAAGAGTGGGTAAGCTGTTACCGTGTTAAATGAATGGGGTTAACATATCTACCCAAAGAATGTTGTTTTTTTCTGCTGCTGAACTTACGAGGGAATTGATAACAGTTGCTCTGATGTAATAAAAAGAGTGAACTGTTGTATTGTTCTGTGATTAAAAAGGTGTTTCTTCTGAGGTTTTATATAACTTAATTCTTCACCTAAAAAACAGATGTTGAAACAATACTTCTGATTTGACATTGTATAACACTCTGTAGAATTAAATAAAGTATAAAACAACTACAAACTGGGTATGAAAAATACATGCACAGAAAATTCAGATTAATTCTGGTGAAACACACTGACAGCTGGGCATGTATTTTTATTTGAAATCGTTTAAACAGTAACAAAAATCAAAACAGTGAGGTTAAGTAAGTTTTAAATCTATACATCTAGATTCTATACAGGTGTTATAATTGTTTTCTGGCAAATTCTTTGTTGGTAACTGTTTTATTTATAATAATATTAAGAAATGTTGTTATCTGTTCTACAAGTTGGTGAAATTTTAGAAGAGTTAGAATTGTTAAGTTACTACATGTGGTTGTATTTATTTTACAGAATTGTAAAACTAGGATACCAAATAGTTTCGATATAGTGACAACAGGCACTGAGGGCGCTGCAGTCCCCCAATTTTCACATACGACTTCAAAAGAACTTTAACTTGAAGGCTTATGATGGCCTGGCTAGTAAATATACAATGTATTAATGACTGGCTGTATTACGTGACAGACAGACTCCCCATTTATAGAACAAAACAATTTGGCCAATCAACTGTTACTATGTAACATAGAATTCTGTATGTGTTGGCATGCATTTTGTACTAGATATATTATTAGATGTTTGCATTTAGCTTAATAATTATTTTTTAAACAAGGTAAATGTCAGTACTTTGTATGACTCAACTTATTACTGGGTTCGTATACCATACCTAGCTCTACAGTTGTTATAATGTCATAAAAATATGACACACCATTTTAGTATGATAAAATTATACAACAAAGAATTCAAGATTTAATAGTAGATCCCTCACCGGATATATCACTTGTTAATAGGATCTTAGTGACTTTGAAGCTCTATGGCAAAAAGTGTGACAGAAATTTATAGAAAACTTACTTTTAACGGTTCAATTTATATTTCTGTTTACTTGGACCTGTACGTGGAGCTGAAAATCATTAAATGATGTATCACATTCGGTATTACTTACTTACTTACTCAGGTAGGTTTTAAAACTTACCTGCTTTCCACTGTTATTGTTTAATCAATAGAACACAGTTATATCATTTTTGAAACACGTTCCTACGACTCGCACTGTACATTTTATACATAGTTTCCAATGTTAAAAAACAACCGTACTAGGTAAAAACCACATTAACAACACACACACACACACACACACATATATATATGAGTTTTATGTGTAAGAAGATATTATTTGGATACCAAATTTCAAACTTTTGACTGGGGAACATACCCCCCTGGACATCCCTCAAGCTCAACACATTGGTATGTGTATGTACAGTTCTAGCTGTTTGTGAACACAACTACAGTAATATACATAAAATAAATTCAAACATCAAAGACCCCCACCCCCTCACACACACACACACACTTGGTCTGTGGGACCAGGACAAGAATCGGGTAAATGATAAATTTACATTTAATGCATATAAAACAGCGGGTGAGTTAAAGCATGTAAGTCATGAATTTGCACATTATAATCTGTTTATTAACGCTTCTTAATTTTTATGCACAAGTTAAATTTTGAGGTGGCCTTTTGATAATGCACTTGTTGAGCATGTGCTGGGTAATTTGTTTTATCCATTTTTTTTGCACAATGCACTTGATGTACATTAGAGTATGTAATTGTAACCGTCGTTACAAATGTGTTACAACACTCTCATGCCCATTTCACTATTTACTGCTCAGCCATGTACACAGTTTGATTTGTTGGGTAGTTTACATACAGATTTTTACTGTTTGATGTCATGGTTGCTGACATAGATTTCATAGAACAATTATTTGTGCTGATATATTTTACATCTCTAAAGAGTCATTAAACTAAAGATAAAAGCAATAAAAACAACCAGACACAATTAGTATTCACTTTAAAATTAGGATATATCAAAAAGAGTATAAAAAAATAGTGAAAATAAGAATTAATATGGGAAAAATAAACACAGAGAAGATGTTGATCAATAGAAAATGATAACCATTTTTTTTTCTTTGTAAATGGAGAATAGGTTCTGAAGATTGTTTGAATATAAAATAAAACATAGCTTTATCTACAGATATTGTAAAAGTTAAATATATACCTTAACTTTTCCTACTTATTTCCAGAACTTTAAATAATTTGGCGTTAAATTTTTAGGTAGAAAATATAATGTTCATAATTTTTGTTTTTATTAAATGAAATATGGGAGTGTGAAACTATTCCGAGATAAAAAAAATGGCAGCATTTACACCTGTAATAAGTGTTTTATGGTAGCTGACTGTGCTTAATTTCAGCACTTTTTGAGTTTAATAATAATTGTATCATTATATCCATAGGTAACCATGGCCATGTTTCAGTTTATATATATTTAAGCAACAATCCCATAAATGTATAATTAGAAATAACAATTTCTAAATTTTTATTTGGTACACCATTGCTGTTTTATCAAAATAGGCTTAGTACACCATCGCTGCATTATCATTAAAAATAGACTTAATACACCATTGCTGTTTTATCATTAAAAATAGGCTTAATACACCATGCTGTTTTATCAAAATAGGCTTAGTACACCATTGCTGCATTATCATTAAAAATAGGCTTAATACACCATTGCTGTTTCATCATTAAAAATAGGCTTAATACACCATTGCTGTTTTATCATTAAAAATAGGCTTAATACACCATTAGTACTTTATCATTCAAAATAAGCATAGC